TGTGTGCATACAAAAGGTTTCTCCATGTAACGATCTGCTAGAAGGCGTGGGGAGCCACAGCCCCGCCTCCCAAACATGCTCTATACCGCACCTCCAGAGAGGTGATGGTGCCTAGACCCAGGAGATGTTACCCTTTTTCCTAGGGTGGAGACAAGCAGACTACCCCAGGTCTGGCAGCAGCAGGGAGGCCCTGCATCCAGACCCCGATCCGGTGGAGATGAAGCCAGCTGCAGAGGTGTGCAGGTGGATAGCAAATGAGCAACAGCTTCTAACTTTTCACTAGTATTCATTTATTTAGAATATCAAAAATAAAAGTGCTACCTCTACCACACATTACTTGAGAGCTCACTAGTCTGCATACACAAGGAAGAATCCATTACAGAGATGATACAAAGAAGAACAAAAACAGGGGTGACACACCAGTTATGAGACCGGAGGCGCCACCATGCGGCGCTACACTGCATTACAACAGCAACTGCTACATGCTGCGTGCTGTTCTAAAGTGCATTTAAAACAACACTTATGTTGATATTACACTGTATGCAATTAAAAAAAACAATTAAATAAACTTCATGTAATCAGCCCAACTTTTATTTTCAAATGCAAAAAAGTATATCAGCCAACATACTGGACACTGTTCTGCTGAACAACAAGCAGTTATATTGCCATCATTGTTGTAATCTTACAGTAAAACAAAGTCTCCGATTTAAGATATAATTGCAAATGTAATTGCAGAAGAAAGTTTTTAACATTGTCCCAATTTCCCTTAAGTACAGTAGCAGTGGATGTGGGTTGGAGATGCAATGACCTTGAACATGCAGGTGACCATCTTCACTGACCAACCATCTGTGACAGAGGACTCATCCTTCCTGGTGTCCTCTAAGCAAACCATCATATTTTTAGAGCACTAACTTATTTGCTGTCTAAAACATTTTGTCTGCATTTGCTATAGAACGGAAAGACACTTCAGACAATCTCAGGCTCCCTCCCCATCCGAGAGCTGACATTCAATGTCCCGTTTGTCAGTCTGCATAGCCCTGACCACCACCCAACACACAATAATGTCATGAAAGCATATTTTTAAAGAGGCTATGCAAACATGGGCAATAACTTTTCATTCTGATGATCTGCAGAATAATTTGGCTATAA